ACGCACACACACACACACGGACTGACGGCGAGGGCGCCGGACCGCAGACAGTATAGAAGTAGAGCCGTACAGCAAAATCGTTAGTACATAGTAGTGTAAGATCGTTCGTAAAGCAAGATCGTTGAAAGTGCGTTGTAAGAAACTGTAGGACTGTACTGTATAAATGATGCCGGGGTGTGATCACACCCGAAGTCACCAACCCACTGGGTGACATGGTCAATCGGACTGTCTCTCTCTCCGTGCGCGGTGTCTATCTCTATGCAAAACAGTGCGTCAGGAACGAGCCCGCCGTTCTCGCGTCGCCCAATACGTCCAGCGCCGCCTGCTCAACCAAGTTCGGCGTCTCGAGCACGTCCCCGCCAACGTGCGCTAAGGCGCGCAGCGCCGCCGCCGCCCTCGCCACGCTTGTGGAGGGGGGCGATAGCGGGGTCGAGGGGCGGCGCGGCAGCATCAACACGACGCGGCGGCGGCCTCGCCTTCGCGTGGTGCACGACCCCATTCGAGCCGCGACCGAGCTCCCGTCCCGTGAGCACGTAGGGCCCCAGCCGCCGCAGGTTGGGATGCTTGAAGTGAGGGACGTTGCCGGCCCGCGACGAGCGGTCGCTACCCCGCGAACTTCGCGCTCCCTCTCCCTGTGAGCCCACGTGCGGCGTAGCAGCTCCTGAGGACTTCTGATTCGGCTCGGCTGTCGCCGCGCTCGCACGCGGCGTTGAAGGCGTGGAGGCGGCGCCTTTGCCGGCCGAGGACGCCTTGTTGGGGGTCCTTTTCCAGGGCCACATCCTCAGCAGCCCCAGGTTAGCCCTGGCGACGCTGTCCCCGGCCGGGGATAAAAGGAACAGAGACGCTGTCTTTCACGTATGGGTTTGGACTTTCTGCGGGGTGTGGTACAGTTGACGGGCATTAAGAACGCACAGGTTCTTCGCCCAGCCTCAGGTTCTTAGCTAAGTTGGCGGTCCGTCGGGGGCCGAGCCTCAGGTTCTTAACCGGGTGGATGGTTTTTTAAACCGTTTCGGCTTCGATTAAAAATCAACACCCACTGGGTGGTTCTAAAACAGTTGGAAGTTTGGATTCTGCTGGAGGCCGAGTAGGATAGGACAGGTCAGGACAGGACTGGACATGGACGTAGACATGACATGGAATGGCGCATGGACATACACTGCATATGTTGGACTGTTGCGCGCTCGCGCGTCGTTTCGTTGTTTGTGTGAACCTTGTATGTGTGTTGCATGGGATGCCGCGCTCGCGAGTCTCGGTCACATCGATGGTTGTAGTATAGAACCCAGCATCGCCCAGACTCAGGTTCTTAGGGAGTTCTTAGGGATCCGGCCGAAATATCAGCCTCTGGTTCTTAACGTTAGAGGTTCTTAATGCCCGTCCGGAACTGTATGGTGCGAGCGGAACGTTGTGTTTTTGTGTGAACGCGGAACCCACCTCGAGAGTGTGATTGAGACCATACCCCCCCCCGCCTGCTGACAGACCCAGCCTCCCGGAGACCGGGGATGGGCGGTCAGGACCATACCCCCCCACCCTTTGGGCCGCGAGGGTACCATACCCCGGAAAAAGTTGGAACCCTGTTGTGGCCTAAAGTCTGTGCAGCTTGCGGAGGACACGATCTCCCGGCGTGAACACAACTAACTGACGTATCTGCTCCTGACAGTGGCACGCACCGCGCTGTGGCGCGTGCCACTGTCTTTGTTTGAAGTTAAAAGTCGAATCAGAGCGGCGTCGGCGCTGTGTCCTCCATTTTCATCCCACGGACCGCCCGTCCGGCACCGCTCCGGGACGCACGCCGGCGAAGCACCATCAAGCTGCTGTACGGCCCCAACATCGCCTTCCCAGGCTTAGCTAGACTGAGAGATATTGTGGACATGGTTGGTCTCTACAATATATACACTGACACTTCACCTCCCAGAGCTCGTCCTGGTCCGCCACGGCCATCCTCGGCCTCCGGAGGGCCCCCGGCCGCGGCGCGGCGCGGCGGCGTCACAAATCCGACCACAGAGCACCGGGACGCGGTCGGGCGATCCGAGGCCCGATTAGGCGTATGCATTGCCTATCCAGGGCTGTCACCTGGACCTATCAACAGGCGCCTGCGGCGCCGTGGTCAGGAGCTGCTGTTCACACTTGCACAGACTTTGATACGGCACAGTAGGTTGCTGTGAAGCCCTGCTGGGGGTAGATCTAGTGTTTTTGCGTAAGAGATCTCATGCTTCTCACTGTCTGTGTTTGTACGTCTTGGGCCTTGTGTTTTTGCGCCTTGGGGATTCGGTCTTGCGTGGAGAAATATAAGAAGAAATCGGTGTCCGGTGACCCCTCTGCCGGCGGGATCTAGAGAGAGATTTTTAGCAATACCAAACAACTCTAACACTCACACGTCATTTGGGGCCTGGAGCCCTGTTCACGCGCGCGCGAGACGTGCAGACAGGGTTGCCAGGTGAGAGCGAATGGCGCGGTCACGCCTCGCACAATAGAGAGAGAGATGCGCTCTGCATGGTGGGACATAAAAGAAAGAATACTTGTGCGAGTATTCCGTCCGGGCAAAGCTGCCGCGCCGGACTTTTCGCCCGAAGGGGCCGCATCTTTGATAACGGCGTGGGGGCGAAAAACCCCCCGCCA